AGAGAGAGAGAGAGAGAGAGAGAGAGAGAGAGAGAGAGAGAGAGAGAACAAATCTCACTGCTTCTTACCATTATCTATTATTTCTATTATCCATGCTCTACAACAGATTCACAAATCATACATGTATTTTTTAAAACAATGAACTCATTATCTCACTATTATTAATCTAAAGAGTAATTAACCTTTTATCTCCACCTCTATTCTTCATGGTCACTACAATAGTAGAGACAGGATTAAGTCATAATTCCCTGTGAATTAGAGGTTATCAGGAGAAGGTACTTAGAGAAGACACTGGACAGAAAATGAATTCTAAATTGTAGTCAAATAAAAGATAGATGATGTAGCTTAAACTACTTAAATGTAGGTAGGAAAATGAATGAAAATGATCAAGCTGCCAGGGAAGTCATTCTGAAGGGTTGGAATGGAAAGAAAAGCAGAGTTGGTGTACCAGGCAGCTGTAAAAGGAGCCATGCAAGCTGCCAATGGAGAAAAATGATCAAAAGTCCTTTCTGTGACATCAAGGAACCAGACAATGCTCAGCAAGGAAAGATATCCCAAAAAGTGAAATAGTGATACCTATATTCTATGGGTAACCAGTAGCTACCCAACTGAACTTAAAGCCCATGCAATAGGGGGAAATTCATGCCTGGAATTCTAAATTTAGTCAGCTTCCTATGGTTGGTGAAATAATGAAACCTAGTGGAGAATGAATTATTGCCATTTTCCAAAATCAGTATGACCTTTGATTACATTCTAAGTAGTTATTCTTATATCCACATATAAGTGTAGTTCTCACCCTTCATCACAGAAGCTTCTCTTTAGGACAGTTGAAGAGCACTAGAAAGTCACAACTAGGCAAAATTCAGAGATCATCTGTCCACTTCCAATTAATACATTTCAACACAACCTTTACATTTAAGTCTCAAGGAACATTGAAGAAGATGGGATAAAGAGATTATGAGAGTCACAGGACCAGTAAACTTGCTATGAGTAAATTTTCTCCCCTCTAGAGAGGGGGAACAAAATAGGGAAAGATGGGGAATATGTTGAGTGACGTTATCCTGAGAAGGTTTCCAGGTTAATAGGTTAATAGTGGTGTGGAGTTTTCTACAAATGTCCCAGTAGCAAATTCCCTAGTGATTAGGCTAGGAATTGTTTGCAATGAAATGAGGGATTGAAATGGCCACTCATGTTCCAGTGAGTATAGAGACCCATGTAGAGATTACTATGGGCAAATGTTCATATTTCAAAGTTTTTGTACTTTTTATATAAAGATGTCAATTTGCCATTGTTCCAGTCCAACACAATTGCAGAAAGAGAAACTAAGGGGCTCTTGAAACCTATGCAGAAGTTAGAATCAATGAAACATTATGATTACAGAGAACAATTTAATTTCTACATTTTGGGCCACAGCTCAGGTAGTATGTATGAATAATAGAAAATCTCTGAGGATGATATGTGTTAATCTGGCCTTCTACTGACCAAGAGGTTTCTATTAAAAAATCTGTTAAAAAAACATGAAGCTGATAGGCTCATTTGAGTGGCATTTTATTGCTAGAGAAGACAGGCTGGAAATATCACCTGACACATCTTGCACTAATGAACTAATTGGCTCAAAATGGCACCAAGGGGAATATAACAGTGACCATATTCTTCTACATTTTGTCACATTCATAAAACAGCACTGGAATTTTGTGTTATGCATTTCCATTGAGCTGGCTGAGGCTGGTCATGGACAGTATGCAGACATACTAGACAGTTTATAAAGGGTTTCATATCATGAGACTGTCGTCGTTAATTTCAGCTTCCTGCTACCTAGTCTACTGTCACTCAGAAGTCTCAGTCTTCACAGTTAGAAGCCTTCCTGTGGCATCCCTGGGCATGATTGGATGATACTGATTACTGTTCCCATTAGGGAAGAATCATGTCAAGTTGAATGATAAATAATTTCCCACAAATCTTACTGTTATATTAGGGAACATAAATGAATTAGAGGAAGTACAAAGAAAAAGCACCACTTTCTTATATTTTACTATTAATTTATAGGTCCTGTGGAAGTTACTATTCAAGCCAAGTGTAATCCCTGTTTATCAAATCCATGTAAAAATGATGGCACCTGTAACAATGACCCAGTTGACTTTTATCGATGTACCTGTCCATATGGTTTCAAGGTAAGTAGAAACCACAGTGAAAAGACATTACTTCCTATGATATTTCTTCCTTCTATGTTGTATATTCTTTCTCTGTGGGCTGAGAGCTAGCTTGTTTCATTTGTACTAACTTGAACATGGACATTTCTTCTCCAGGGCCAGGACTGTGATGTCCCCATTCATGCCTGTATCAGTAATCCATGTAAACATGGAGGAACTTGCCACTTAAAAGAAGGAGAGAGTGATGGATTCTGGTAAATATCCTGGCTGTGATGTTCTTTGTCTGAAGTACCATAACAAGATTAACTAAATAAATGAGCATGATCTTTTTGAAACAAGAAGCTATTGTTTCAAGAATATTAGTGTTGAGACTCTGTACTGATTGGTCCGTGAAAGAGACAGCATAATATGAAAAATTATCAAAGACATTACAGAGATCTCAGTTCATAGAAGTACAAAGCGTTAAAAGTTTGGAAGAATGCATATCGTGATAAATCAAGTCATATTATGACAACACAAGGTATCGACTCTTTAGGCATATTAATAGCCAGCTAGTCCAGTTCTACAAATCATTCATTTATTTTTGGATTTGCTTTTGCTTTTATGAAGTGTGTGTACTAAAAAGATGCAGTTCCCACTGGAACAAAAAAATTAATGATTTATTTCCAGGACACAATATAAATAGATAAATACATTGTGTATTTTTTAAGCTATAATTATTGAGTCATATGGTATAGTGGATTCAGATGTAGTTCATGAATTATGAAATATGGTATTTTTGTCACTTCTTTTTTGTTATTTTTATTTTCACATATGTTACATCTCAATCAGTTGCTCCTCCCTCCACTCCCCATCTCCCCTCTACCTCTCCTCAGAAAGCAGAAGCTCTCCCAGGGACATCAACCAAACATGCTGTATCAAGCTACAGTAAGACTCTGCGCATACCATCACATCAAGACTGGACAGTGCAACCCAATAGGAATAAAAGTGTCCCACAATTAGGCCAAAGGGTCAGCAACAGCCCCTGCTCACACTACTAGGACTCCCACAAGAGCACCAAGCTACTGAGCCATAACATTTATTTAGAGGACATATTCAGACCCATACAGAGTTCCCCATGAAACCCAGTCAGTTGGTTCTGTGGGTTCTGTGGGTTGTATTCTCAAAATAAATTCTTTATTAATCACACTAATAATTTTACATAAGAACAATAATCTACTGCTGAACCTTGTTAGAAAACTTACTTTTAGAAGAAATATACTCAATTTCTTTTATAAAATTGTCTCTAGTTTATGTATGCTTCACTCAAATATTATTTTGATATCTACTCTAATGAAATATACAATGCATTTCCACTGAAAATTGTATTTATTGAGACAAATAAAATGTTTATTTTACTAATTAAAGCATATTCTTATGCAATCAAAAATGCACCCGGAATGCTCTCTGAGACCAACTTCTCTTGTTTTTATCCCATCCCTATCAACTCCAACTCCTCCCAACAAGTCCCTTTCCCAGATTCCTGTCTTTGTGATACAGAAAATGTTCGTATTATATAGCTGCAAAGAGTAAACCTGACATTTATTTATTGTTGCAAACTATCAAGTACCTCACACACAGAATTATAGATGATACAATTTTAAACGTCAGAGTCTCACTTTTATATTTAATTGTGTTTGTGCGTGTGCTCACATTTGAGGGCATTTGCACCACAAGAACAGAAGTGTTGAATTTTCTCATAGTTGGAGGTATAGGTGCTTGTGGACTGCCTGATGTGGACACTGGAAATAAAATCTGGGTCATCTCTAAGAGTAGTAAGTTCTCTGAACCACTGAACACAAGATCTGTGAGAAATTCGATCAAATAAAATCCTAGCATGAACTGGAGAGGGGCTCATGAAGCCCACCTGTAGCTGAAGTGCTATTGACAATTGGTGGCTGCTCGTAGAGCAAGAGTCAGTTTCCTCCAGGTTGTAGGCCTTGAGAGGCTACCCACATTTCAGTAGGTAGCCTTACACCCATGCACATGTAGACGACACTAAGTAGGTTCTATGGGTCAAAACATGAAGCTGTTAGGCAAAAGTGATGGGTTATAATGGAGGTATCTAATGGAAGGCAGAGTGGACAGATTCAATCAGAGCATGTTATATCCATATATGAGATTCTCACACAATAAACAATTAAAAAATCAGAACCAATCTTCATTTATTTAAAAAGGTGAGAATTTACCCAACATGAGAATAGCATATTTAGGAGAAGTAAAGGAAATTTTGCGTGTCCTTTACTTTAAATGTGTTGGGATTAATCGACTTTTAAGACCCTGGAGACTTTCACCGTCTTGTAGCCCTCATAAAATTTTCTTCTTAAATATTCTCTGATTTGTTAGCTAGTACCTTAAATTGCTGCTTACAGTACATAATTTTGAAGCACTTAAAACACCAATTTCATGTAAGATTAAATGTTTTGTAATTGTTGTGTATATTCATTCTCTTTAAAATATTTAGACCACGATGTTTTAAAATGCACCCAGAACAGTTTCTTGCCTTTCTTTCCCTGATGTTCAGGTGTACTTGTGCTGATGGGTTTGAAGGAGAAAACTGTGAAGTCAATATTGACGATTGTGAAGATAATGATTGTGAAAATAATTCTACGTGCGTTGATGGAATTAACAACTACACATGTCTTTGCCCACCGGAATATACAGGTATGAAAGGGAGGAAATGTGTCATCAATCAGTGTATCAATTTGATATTATGTTTATTTACCAAGCCATCCTTTCTCAATAATTGGGAGAGAATTGTAATAACAGAAATGCACAGGGATTGTTTCAGCCCAGCAAATAAAAGATGCAGCACACTTGGTTCTGTGCACCTTTCTTTATAAGGTCAAGATCTGTAGAGTAACAGAGGATGCTGGCATGCTTAAACTTTTGAACCCATTATTCAATTACATTTGTATTCAGACTACTTTCCCACTTCAGATTTTCCCAATGGATATTTGTGCATTTTTTTTTACATGACCAAAACACAATTCAGTACCTGAGGTTCATAATGTCCATACTTTTTTTTAGTAGTGAAAGTTTCCCTATAGGAAGTTCTGTCCTTCACTTGGTGCTCCATTGGGAAGATGAGCTTTTTGGAAGATCTTATGAGACTATTACTTTTTTACCAATCCTTGTTTCTGGATGATAAACCTGATCAGACTATGCACAATGCTAACCTTTTTTTCTTACTTTAGATCAGTTTTCTGTAAAATTAGCAGCAAGTTTCTGCCTTGCCTATTTTGATAGAATAGCTTTTCGGTTGGTTTGTATGGCTATTCATAGGAAGTGTCATAGTCAGCTTTAATTCTAACAGAGCATGTGAAGGAGACAGAAAAAGGACAGTAGTACTGGGGTGCATCTAAAGGTTAACACACAACTAGATTCTGTCATTTTTTCTGAAGCTGCAATCTGCGTTCTACTTGACATTTTCATTTCTTATATTTATTTTCATATAATAGAACATATGTAATAATTGAGGATAGTGAAATAAGACATAATATAATTACATTTACAGTTACAGTTACCTAAGATTACAGTTACCTAAGATTAATATTTTTAAACATAAATACAATCAACTTTCCAAGAGTTCTGAAGGAATAATTTTTGAAGGTTGTTATGCAAGACACAAAATTTTGCATTACACTAAATGTCTGTCTTCATAGGAAAGAATTTTTGTTATGGGTAAAGTGCACCATAGAGTAATGAGGTTCCATTTTGACAATCTAGACATGTTTAGATGTTTCTAAAGTTGTCTTTTCTGTGGAGTTTTACAAGTAAAGCACTAGATATATACACATTGATGAATAGGTGGGTAAGTAGGTAAGTAAATAGATGATAGGTACATAGATAATTGATAGATTTACAGAAATATAAAGATAGAAAATTAGATGTATAAATTCATACATACATAGCTATCATTCTAAAAGTCAGGATCTAATCATTTACTGTTTTTCCATTAACAAAATATAGCAAGTGTATTTGAACACACCTTTGCCAGACAGAATTTTGTTGTTACACAGGTCTGCCTTCCTATCTCTGTATTACAAATCAGATATATTCCACTAGCTTATGGCCATAGAGTTAAATCTCTTATACAAAGCCTGAGAATCTAAGCTCTATTGGACTGGATATTTATACGGCTGTAAGAAGTTTGGTGTTTAAATAAGAATGTTTCTTAGTCATCCCTAGGATAGAGATGTTTTCTTTCTCCATCATTATTCAAGTTATAGAAAAGGCTTAAGAACCCACTTATTTTTGAGACTTTGGTAAACCACTTTATTTGATTCTACCAGGGAAGTAGAGATCCCAAGCACTGTAAGACTATTAAAGCTCTCCATGTTCTGCTGGATACAGAAACCAGAAGTTTATATACTCCTCCTGGTTTAACCAAGGCAACAGATCACATGTATGTTAATCTCCTTGTATGTCTTTCTATGATAATTTGCATAAAGTCGCAACACATCCAACTTAATTTAGAGCATGTCCTGCTGCACTGGCTTTCGATTTTCTACCTTTTATTCTAGATGAGTCATAACAATTTTTGACTGTTTCTCTTACCTGCTCCACTTCAGTTCCCAAGCTCTTGTGTGCCCTCCAACAGAGTTCAGTTCCATGTTCTCTCCTCTGACAGTGGGATGCAGTCTGCTTTCTCCAACTATGTCAGGTTTCATTCTTTTCACTATAAGAATTCAAAACTTAACTAAACCCATTGTTTGACAAAATGTGGCTTTCATAGAAGTTGTCATGAAGGATCCTGCCATGAGTCTGTCATAAATGAGCCTAAACACCTTTACTCTTTTACTTGTAGCTACTACAATGTTGCTTTGCCTTAATTTGGGCAAAGGATCAAGACAAATATTGAACTGGAGACTGTGTGAGGCATAGAGCAAAGAGATACTACCTTCATTACGTTGGATTGAGTCTCCTGGGTCAAAAAGGATTTGACAACTTGGCAATAGAGAAGATACATAAATGGGATGAATTCATAAATCATCTCTTAACTGTAGAGTTTCATGCACATCTGAAGTGAGTGCAGTTACAAAATGTCAAGGAATCATCTCCAGATTCTGAGACTGGAGGCATATAGGTGACCTTTGCTTACAGGGAGGCATAAGTCCGATTCTAGAATTCTGTGTCCTGTTTAATCCACATCTACAGTTACAGAGGAATTTCCTTATAATGGGACTTTGCTGTTTCAAATTTAACATGGAATCTGATTAATGGGCATGAGTTCAGAGAACAGGAGTCCAGCTAAACTCACAGAAAATAATAATGTTGCCATTGTTTTAAAATCATCTAAGCTGTCAGTTGCTTTTTTTTTCCTTTCATTTTTTTTCAGACTGTCCGTCAAATGCATACAGTGAGAACATGAATTCTATTTGATAGCAGCAGATAAAGCTTCACTAGGAAAGCTTGTAAAGCACTGTGGTAACAATCCCCACAGTTAGCATCTATGTTGAGACGTACAGTTGTCAATGGAGAAAATTCAGAGACCTGAAGAGAATCTGACAAGGAAATCACCACATAAAAAGCAGTCTATAAATCTGAGCTAGAAATATTTTAAATAGGACGAAGGCTTGAAATATATTTAGAAATGTATAGAGACATAGTTAAACCCTGAGCAACTAAACGTTACAACATGTGGTGAATGATGTATTCCCTGCCCTCTTCTTTTTTTAAAAGATAAAAAAAAGGACTGATAACATAAACTGTATAGATCAATAGGGTTTTTCTGTTATCTAAACTTTACTTAATACACATACACACTTTAATAGTCAGATATATTGCTCTCTACATATTAGTATTCTCTACATATTAGGTCTACTTCTATCCAAGCTGGGAGATATTTCTTTGCTAGTATTATTCAGGAAAGGTTAAAGTTTTAAAATTTAGTTGCATGTGATTCTATATTAAAGTCAGTATTTGAAGTATGGGAAAATAAGAATTTAGTGATATTAATTTTTTAAAAGTAATTCTATATTTTTAAGTTAGTTTCAGAGATTTGGGGACTTGATTTGTTTAATTTTTTAAGAATTCATGTATAGTTCTCATAAAAAACATTTCGGAGAGCAAAATTTTCAAAGAATTCCTTAAAGGTATGTAAACGAAAACTAAGGCTATGGTATGCCTACATTATTGAAACCATGTAAATCTTTTCCTATGTAGTGTTAAATGTGGAGCTGATCTGGAAAAACTAGCTTCGCATTAGTAATTATTGGGTTGGGGTATGATTATCGTCAATAACTCCACCCTCTCAGGGCCACATAGAAGTATGAATGCTCTCCAGATTTCCTATTAAAACAATTATTCAGCACAATGGCAGTGTACATAGTTTGAATATTCTCAGAGTCTATCTTATGCAAAATATAAAGAACTCTTTAACTTTCCCACTTTGTTTCTGGGCCACTACACAAATGTTCACTCCGCACCTACTACAATAAAGCAGCAAGTGTCACTCACCGGGTTTAGGTGCCAATCTCTAGCTCTGCTGGGATGGCTTTTACTTTTGCTCTATTCTTCTATGTGTTTGTGTGTTTAGCCAGCTGTAGGTAAGAAGTCTATGCCTGGCTTCAGTTTGCTCTCTCACACTGGCTTCTCTGTTGTTAATGCTGCGCGTTGGCTTCTGTGTGCTACCCTTACATTGCAATGTAAAAAGTCTTTTGTCTCTTCTGTCTTTGTCGCTGCCAGCTGCTAATCTGAATGAGGTGGAAAAAGGTTAGTTGCTCTTTTTAAGTCTATTATGCTTTTCCCTTTAGTTCTCCTCTTTTAAAGCTACTAGATTTTACCGGGTGTGCTGGATAAAGATGTTGACAAGAGATGAAGTCAGCGAGTGCTGTGTCAAATCATTCATATAGATCCTTAATATGTGTATAGCTGCATGAAACACTATAAAATGCTTCATTGACACTTACCTGATCAATTTATAGAAGGCTGTGGTAGAGCTCTGACTGAGTAAAATATATGTCTAAAATCAAAAACTTACATTTTCTTTTTCCTACTCGTCCATATGCTTTTACATTTTTAAAGACATCATGAGAATATATTATTTATATAATGAAAACTGTAGGTGCTTTAATACAGCATGTATACTATATTTAGTAATAATATTGAAAGTAGTGAAGTTTTTCATAAGTTTAAGTCCACATATTTACTATATCCGTAAAAAATATCTGAAAATATATATAGTAATTGAAACACTTTATAGCATATGAATGGGGTTGCATCTCAATGATAAGTGACTTACTAAGCTTGTATAAGACCCTGTTTCCAATCCTAGCACTACAGAAATAGTATAGGTAAAAATAAATTACCCATACACGCACACACACACACACACACACACACATGTTTCTAATATACAGGTAAACAGTGTGCTGATAATATGTGTCTCTTTGACTTGTATATACATAAGCAATGTATTAATATGAAATAACTTACCACATAAATATTAAAAAGCCCAAGAGATTTATTTGTACAGTGAAACTTTCAAATCGGTATTGCTGATTCTACTGAGTTCTAGGCAGTTTTCTTAAAGCGCGTTAGAAAGTTTGGTGCCTAGTCACTAACATCACTGACATCCACTGGGCTCCCAAATACATCGAGAGCCCAGAAGGGGCACATAGTTGTTAGAGCAGTAGCCAGGCTGAAAGCATTTCTTAGAA